GGACCTGAGACTCGAACCCACAACCTTTGGGTTACAAGTCCGACTCTCTAACCATTAGGCCACGACTGCCCCCATTTTGCAATGCCGTTGAACCAGTAGTGGCAGAAAAAATGGCAGAAAACTATGGGGCGGAATGATTATTTTCAAGTGTAAGTGGCTCAAGGAAATTGTAGTGCTGGGCGGTATACCGGTTCATACTGAATACCGGTGTTTATTTTTGTTATGATATGAATTTTTAAAATACCACAATACCGGTGTATGTCGCTTAAACAACGTTCGGAACGCGACACTGTTTGAAAGGGGTCCCTTCTCTCTCAATCAGTAGAAAATATGGTTAACACCCGGTCATGCATGAAAAAAAAATACCGTCATGTACCGTGAAACCGGTATAAAAAAAACAAAAAAACACCCAGCACTAGGAAATTGTACACTTTTCCCTATGAAGAAAGAAAATTATTGAGGAATCCTCATTCAGTGCTCTTAAAAAAATGCTCTTTAGAATGACACTGTCCCTCCCAAATCATGATTTTGCTTTGACAAAAACCCAACTTCCTCTGTCAACAGAAAATACATCAACAAAGGAAATAAAACAGTTTGTCAACCCATTCCATGTGGTCATTATATCAGAATAAGCAAACAAACAATCAGTGAAAACCATTAGTGGTTCATTCGGTTAATTAGAGATAAAAAAAGCACATTTTTTTACCAGTAGAGAAAACATGTTCATATATTCTGCACAAATGAGAGAGAATCTGTAATAAAAACAGGAGAGAATGAAGAGATCAAAGATAGAGAAAGGTAGGCTTATTTTCATTGAGGAAACAGGTGTTGTAGCAGCGAGAGCTTTACATTAAACTGAGACACCGCCACAGGAAATGGGTCTTTAGAGCAATGAGGACAGAGTGAAGCAGAAATGTTGGAGCCTCATCCTCTCTGCTGCTCCAAAACACAGCACTTCTGAATCATAGAAGCACACGGATGCACAAAGGTCCTATTTTCCTGGCTCTGAATCACTCATCAGCATCCGTGTTTAAAGAAAAAGGCGGTCGGTGGCGGGCTTGGGACTTCAACAATGATTAAGAAGGATGAATGTGAAACGATGATGAAAAGATCGCACCAGAATATTGAGTACTAAACACACGTAATGGACAAACAAAAGACTTGGATCTCTTGG